TACAGTAAAGATAAAGTGCATTTTAAAAGCTGATGCTAACTAGCATACAATGAAATATAGCTCTGAAATTTCGAAGGCACATCTGCTTTTCCGTACAACAGTCACATCAGCAATTTTGGAACTGGGAGTCAGGCAACAACAGATGAAAACCGATTCTAGCTTGTTTAGCGAATGGATAACACTTATCGCGTACCTCAAAATAGCTTTTCACTTCCGCTTAAAACGAATAGTGTTTCTTGTTGTTATGCAAAAAAAAAGATGTCCCATTTTGCAAAACTGTCGATATCCTCCCTTCTCCGTAATCAAACGTGTTAGTAAGCTCAGGTTTCGCAAAAAAAAAAAAACTCCACAGTACAACATCATTCGTTTAGTAAATGGCTCTCTTTTACGAAAGCAGAAGGACAGCGAGGGCAATCCCCAGCTGTATTTCATCTACGCAAAAAAAAAAAAAAATGAAAAGTACATACTTTTGTTCCATTCGCTGTGCAAGTAACACTGTTGAGCTCCTTTCAGCTTTTCAAAATTTTGGTGCCTCATGTGATATTGGTGGCTGTGTTGATTGGCTACTTGTGCCTTGGTGCATGGGTTCTCATGGTTCTGGAAACAAAAACCGAACTTATGGCTCGATCCAGGAAGCTCGTCCGCTTATCGAATATGATGTCAAATTTTACTGCAGATAGTTGGCGAGTACTTAACGAAGTACAACTCGGCATCCGCTCAGTCGATCAAGCTGAATGGACTAGCATTTTCAGGTATTCAACAAAACAACAACATGTAAAAAAGGATTTTGTACATTTCATAAGAACAGTGATTTGTGGGAAATTTATTTTTTACTACTGAACAATAATAATGTTTATAGAGCTGTTTTTCTGCATTAACGAGACTACAGCTTTCTTCAAAATCTGCAGGGAGTTCATGGTATCGATTGCGGAAACTGTTGATGATCGACGTCCAATCCGGAAAGAGCTTCGAAAACCGGATGACATCGATAATATGCATAATAAGTGGACTTTCCCAACTGCCTTATTGTATGTGCTGACTGTTCTTACCACATGTGGTGAGTTTTTTCTTTAAACAATTGCACTGTATGAAATTGCACTTTTTTAAGGAAATAGCACTGTGTGACTGTGTTTTAGGCTACGGTGAAGTATCTGTTGACACTGATTTGGGAAAAGTGTTTGCCGTTGCTTTCGCATTAGTTGGGATACCTCTAATGTTCATAACGGCGGCTGATATTGGCAAGTTTTTGTCGGAGACATTGCTTCGTTTCGTTTCAAACTGGAACCGAATGCTGCATAAATTAAAGGTAGATATGGCGTTCTTCGCTATTTGTGTGGCATTCCTACGGGTTCAGTATTCCAAAAAATTCAGAAATGAACAGATTTTTTTGACATGTATAAGCATGATTTTAAGTTGTTATGCATATCCCATTCCACAGTACGCCATTTTTCGTGTTTTTTTTTTTCGCTCTTACCGGCTGCCCCTCGCCAATTAAAAATGTGTATTTTTGAAGTGGATAAACGGAAAGGTGCATAGGCATGCCAAAAGCTCTTGCCCTTTAAAAAAACCAAGTGCAAAAAAATTTGACTTTGACTCCAAATTAAAGAGTTATTTGACTCAAAAAAAATTCCAGTTATCCTCCTAAAAACTTTTCATCGCGCCTTTTCTCATTTTTGAAAAATTTCTCCCACTCAAATTGTTTGGTGCAGTCCTAAAAGCTAAATGATGCATATTGCCTTTCCTTGTGTGTGTGT